TTACCCCATTCCCCCTCGATCCGTCTCCCCCTCTGGTTCTTTACCCCGTTCCCCCTTGATCCGTCTCCCCCTCTACTCGCTGCCCCTCCGTGCCTCACCAATATCTCTTTACAGCCCAGCCCTGACCCAAGTTTTAAAAAAATCTTTTGCAAAGTGTGTAGTCAGGTTGAAACTGACTTTCAGAGTGACGTATAGATCATTACAAGAGAAGGCTGCTTTCAATAGGATTCAGATGGTGAGAGATGATCTTTCTGTCTCTCAGGAGCAGGCGCTGTCAGAGGGTCAGCGCCGAGGGAGTGGGCGCTGTCGGAGGGTCAGTGCTGAAGGAGTGGGCGCCGCTGGAGGATCAGAGCCGGAGGGTCAGCGCCGAGCGAGCGGGCGCTGTCGGAGAGTCAGCGCCGAGGGAGCGGGCGCTGCCGGAGGGTCAGCGCTGAAGGAGCGGAGCCGGAGGGTCAGTGCCGAGGGAGCTAATCCCTAATGCTTGTGTCCTTTTTGGTGATGGGTGAATGGGTACAGGGTAACATGCCGAGGGGTGGGGGTGGGGTGGGGAAGGTATTGATGGATAAGAGGGGATGACGGAGGAGGGAGTGCGGATGGGTATCGATTTGGAAAGGGCAGTTAAGGGGGCAGGATGCCTCTGGCATTGGGCTTTTGTTCTGTATGCCAGCTCCGAAGGTTCTGTTTGTCTCCGGCGTCTGTGGGCGAAAGCCCTTGTTCTTGACAAACTTGCTGACTCGGTTCAGTCATTGTCCCGGGAGGACAATGCCATGTTGTCTCAGGGAAGGGACGGATTTTCGGAATGGCGCGGGGGCGGTGGGGTGGGATGGGGGGAGTGGTGGCGATTAGTGCAATAGCAATAGGCTCAAAACCTTTTCCCCCTCTCGCCAGGAATCAGGGAATTATCCTCCTCACCTTCCCCTATAGTCCCCCAACCCCACACACAGACACAGACACACACACACAGGCAGACAGACAGACACACACACACACAGACACACACACACACACAGACTCACACACATACAGACACACACACAGACTCACACACATACAGACACACACACACACACACACAGACACAGACACACACACACACACACAGACTCACACACACAGACACACACACACACACATATACACCGAGTCTCCCGTCCGACTGCCTGGCCCCTACACATAACCCCAACCCCCTCCATTCCACCCCCCTCGCCCTCCCCCCGGCACCCCACCCTGCCCTCAAAGGGGTTTTTGTTCAGGGAAGGGCCACATGGATCAATTCAAAGGGGCCTAGGATCTTCCTGTTCTACCTCAGGGAAATGTGGGGGCAGCGTGGGGGAGGGAGGGCAGAGTTATCTCCATCGCCTCCCTCCACCCCCCCCCCCCTCCAGCCCCCTACACCCCCTCCCTATCTCTGCCACCCCCTCCAGCTCCCGACAACCCCTCCCTATCTCCATCACCTCCTCCGGCCCCTACATTCCTCTCTATCTCTTTCATCTCCTCCAGAGAACCAGAGGGGGAGGCGGATCGAGGGGTAACGGGGTAGAGAACCAGAGGGGGAGGCGGATTGAGGGGGAATGGGGTAGACAACCAGAGGGGGTAGAGGGAATTTTATGTCCAGATGTGAGTACGTTAGAGGAAAGATGTGAAAGTATCAGAGACAGAGCGAGGTTGAGATTTACGAGAATTAGTACGGTCAGTTTTGAGGAGAGATGCAAGATGTCGGGGTTAATCTCCTTGGATAAAAATCCGGAGACGGTCTGGACAGAGGGAACCGCCAGCGGGAAAAGGACTGGGAAGCACAGGGCACAGATCAAAAGGGATTGGGAATGGGCAGGCGAAAGGACCCTGGCTCGTGGTGAGGGTCTGGATCGATGTGCCTGGAAATGTCGGGATGGGCAGACGTAGGTTCAATCAGGATATTATAGGGGGTGCCATTGGACAACTGATGAACAGAACTTTTACAATGAAAAGTAGGGCCTTGGGTAGTAGATCATACAATCCCTACAGTGGGGAAGCAGGCCATTTGGCCCATCGAGTCCACACCGACCCTCCGAAGAGCATCCCACCCAGACACAGCCCCTTACCCTATCCCTGCATTCCCCACCCTGGGCACTACAGGACAATTTAGCACGGCCAATCCACCCTAACCCGCACATCCCTGGGCACTACGGGACAATTTAGCATGGCC